TTAGTCATTGCCATGCCGGCCCCATTGATGCCTTCATCGATAGCGTCCTGCAAAGCGGACCCTATCTCTTGGCTGAAAACTCTGACCATCTCTTTGTAGGCCTCATTACGACGCCTACCCTTGATGACCTCCAGAGTCCTTTGGGGGAACCTTTCATGTAGATATTGGTTCATGAAACGGACACCCCCGGCTGAGGTGGCTGCAGCCTCAGCCCTGGCCATGATCCTAACCTCCTCCTCAGGCCATCTAGCCTTTACGCGCTCCACATCGATCGCACTGTTAGCCTCAACAGGGTGGGCTCTCAGAACGTGGATTCCCAAGCCACACGTGGTCTTAAAGCCTCGACCATAGTGCTTGCACATCGCCAGAGGCGGCCCGACTATGTTGTCTGTATCTGCTGCCGTAATCACAAGTTCCTCGGCAGGATCACTTGACGCCGCTGCCGTAATCGTAACTTCATCGGTAGCAGCACGAGCACAGGTCCGAACTCCAGTGCACCAATTCCCGGGCACGCCCGCATCGAACTCACTCTCTTCCTCACTATCACGCAGTGCCCGAGCCATCCGAGAACCCGGGCGATTGAAATATTCTTTATTGCACCTTTTCATATTAACTGCGTGTAGGGGGGCAAACGGATTGACAGCCGAGAGCCCGCCAAGGTTGCCGGTCCTTTCTTGGCCCCACTACTCACCATGGACACGGACTTAGGGGCGCACATGTCATGCCTTACGTTTAGCTGTTGATCCGACCGGAAAGCATTCCAGCAGGGGACAACATTCCACCAGCGGTACCTATAGGAGATATATGGTACAACAGGGTCAGGAGAGGCTAAGGTGTTATATGCCACACAGGTGGCTGTATTGCGCATTACTGACCCAGTAACCATTTAAGAGAGTTATAGTTACTCCCGCCGTTTACCCGCGCTTGCTTGAATTTCTTCACGTTGACATTCAGAGCACTGGGCAGAAATCACATTGCGTCAACACCCGCGAGGGCCATCGCAATTCTTTGTTTTAATTAGGCAGTCGGATTCCCCTAGTGCGTGCCAGTTCTGAGCTGAGCGTTGAATGGCGGCCGAAGAGGACGACCACGACGGCTCACGCCGACACGGAAGCCTCGCAGCAAGGAAGATCCGCGGGAGGCCAAGGCACGGGACCGAACTCGGATCCCTGGACGTTCACCTCGCACAGGCCCGGCACGTCAGCCAGACCCGCTTCCCGACCAAGCCCGACACGCCCCGCTCCTCAGAGCCAATCCTTATTCCGAAGTTACGGATCCAATTTGCCG